AGGTTACAGCAAAACCAATTCAAAGAGACAAAAATCTGCTTCAACAGGACAACAGTGGACACTTTTGTGAGAGGAAAGGCTGACATGTGACTCTCAAAAATGAAGTTAAAGAATTATGTAACTCTTGAAAGGTACAGCTAAAGTGGCTTCATGTACTGTGATTCCCTGGAGTTCAAGTCAGACTTGAGCATTCTAAGGCCATGCCACAGCACAGCTCCGACCAAACTGAGAATTCCAGGGCTGGCAGTGGGGAGGGCTCACTGCCAGAAGCCCTCAGGACCTATTCTAGAGCATTTCCAGCAGGAAGCTATGGTGGGCTTTTGATGAGATGTGCACAGGAGCTTAGGGCTATATGTTTATGATCAGGCATGTAAAGCTAATGCATGTTTTTTGCTGTTTAAAGAGAATTTCCTTTAAAGTTTCCAAAATATTGTGGAAAAAAAACAAAAACCCACAGCTCACGAAAGTTGGAAAGGTCAGGTCTCACAGGATCATGTCATGACCTGGGAACGGGTCTGTTATAATGCAGGGGCCCACACTATCTAGGCACTGCAGAATTTTGGGGAGCTCCTTTTAGCATTAATAGACAACCATCAAACTGGATACTTAAACAAAAATATGACATCAGCAGGCACCCCACGGCCTCACCCCAAGTGGGTAGAGGTGATATTTAGGTGCCAGCAGCAGCTACTGCCATCTGGCCTCTGCAGAGAGCAGTCCCTCCAGATTACAAGTCTCTGGTGTCATGGTGTAAATGTTATGCTTAAAAGGCTTGTCTAGGCTGGGCAGTGGCGGTGCCCGCCTTTAATCCCAGCACTCTGGAGGCAGTCAGATCTCTGAGTTCGAGGCCAGCCTGGTCTACAGAGCAAGTTCCAGGGCTACACAGAGAAACCCTGTCTCGAAAAACCAAAGGGTGAAGGGAACAGAAAAGAGGCTTTTCTATTTCACAGCTCTGACTGACAGGGAACTCCATTCCATTTATGCTACAGGTAGCTCCTGATCAGCTCAGGAGAGACCCACACTGGACACTGCAAATCCATCCTGCAGTTACAGGCAGACAGCAACTGCTCTTTTCTTCATTTAAATGTTCCCTAGCCTTATTAACTAATAAGGAGAATTTTAAGTTGAGATCTCACAAGCAAAAATAGCTTGAAGGTATCGATTAGCTGATGCTTAAACCCTCAGTGCAGTTTCAAATTTTTAGTTGTCAGGCTTCATTAATTTCATGTGTGTTGTACACAAGATTTCCTCCTCTAAAATGAAAAGCACAGGGGAACAGTTTTTTTTTTTTTTCAAGCAAAAATGTTTATGAAAAAAAACATAGCATCCAAACAAAAACCCTACCCCATAAAATTAGGCAGGACCCATAGGCGTTCCAACTTAAAAAGGCCCAGCTTTGTTTAGCATAATAAAACATCTCTGTACTGTTTTTGTGCGTGGACTTTATTCAGCCCTGGAATTTCCTCCTCCTAATTTAGCTGGAGTTAGGTAAGTTTCTAGACTCTCAAATTCTGCATTTAATGCTCAAACAAACCATTTAAATCAGGAATGCTGCCCTTTTCATGTTCCCATTAAAAACACACAAAATAAACACAAACTACACACTGTAAGGATAATGAGCCAGATGGAAAAGTTAATGTGCTATAATGATATTCGTTTTGCAACATCAAAAGCAGCAGAAATACTGAATAAAATTTGATTAAATCATAAATACTGAGATTGAATATGCACATAGAAATTACATTTAGGCTCCACAAAATGAAAGCTCTTTAAGAGTAGATAAAGTGCGAACCAGCAAGATCAGCTCCTGGTCCATCAGTACTCCCACTCATCAGACTTCAGGTCAAGGTAGCTGAGGATGTTCTGGGCCAGCTTCACAGCCTGTTTCCTGGCAGCCTTACACTTCTCTTCCCCCTGTGGGTCAACAGCATCCAGAGCCAGTAGCTGTTTGGTCAGTAGCTCCTCCAGACGGATGTAGTTCTTATCAGTTCGATTTCCACCAAAAGAGAGGACTTCTCCCTGGATCTCGGACAGATTTCCAAGGACACCCCACACAGCCTTATGCGGCGGGTTTTCCTCACAAGGGGACAGCTTCCTCTTCTCAAGGGCTTCCTTCAGGTCCAGATACGTGATGAGGGTCTGGACTTCAATCACTGCTCGTCTCCTGGCTTCCCGGATGCAGGGGTTCTTCTCAACACTTACTTCATCCAGCTGTCCGATCAAGCCCTGCAGCTCTGTCTTGGAGCTCAGGAACAACTCAGGAGGGCTCTGCGCCTGGAGCAGCTCATTTTTTATTTCTCTCATCCTCTTGAGGACCTTTTCTATTTTTATGATGGAATGGTTCTGTCCCAGGTCAAATGCATGCGCATTGTCAGCTCCCTCTTCTAAATCGAGATATTTCAGTAATGTGTTGATGTCCTCTACCACCTCTCTCCGGTAATTCCTGATCTCTGTCCGCCCGCACACGTCTAGGGCATCTAGATCAGCAATCAGCCCCGACAGCACACATGATAAGTGCCTGCAAGTCTCCGTACTGTCCACGCCCATCAGAAGTGCGATCAAGGTGCCCCTGGCCTTGTTCACCTCACACATCACAGAGTTGATCTTGGAGACAGAAGGATGCACATTCTCAGACAGTGGCAGGGAAGGCTGTTTCTTCATGCAGTCTTCCATAATCTCTTGCACTGCACAGATCTTGGTTAGCGCGTAGTACCTTGCTTTCCGCAAGGAGATCTTCCCTCCAGTTTTAACATGTGTGAGCCTCAGAATGATATCCTGGATGGCTTCCTCAAACTCATCAGTCACAGAGTTGTCCCCACTGTAAAAGGGCACAATCTTTTCTCTCACGAGGGCCTGCGCTTCACTAAAGATGTTCTGGATTTCAAGCCTGTGTGGGTGGTTTGCATTCTGCTCCAACTCTTTGAGAAGGCCTTCTGTCTCCTGTGCTGCCCTCTTCCTAGCCTGCTGAATGTCTCCTTTTCCTTCTGTATCTACAGAGTCTATTTCAAAAAGTTGTTTCGTCAGAATCCTCTCCAGTTTCTTATAATTCTTGTCATCTGACAGGCCACTGAAGCCAACCACTTGTGGCTCTATGTTCTTTACTTCCCGCTGGATCTCCTGGAGCCTGCTAATAGAGGGGTGTTGGTTTCCCATCTCCATACTTCTGTGTTCAGATGCACAAGCACTGAAAGATGGCAAGAATGAGAATGTATTACAGGCTCTGCAGGATGTTTACATCAACCCATTCTAAACTTCTTTTTAAAAGGCACTCTTTTTACAAGGGCTGTGGAGCTAGCACTCAGTCAAGTTCAAGTTGGAGCCAGGGAAGAGGCTGGAGATAGGGCTCAGTGTAAGAGCATTGGATGCTCTGTAGAGAATCTGGGCTTGATTCCCAGCGTCCACATCACAGCTCATGGCCACAATAACTCCAGTTCCAGGGAGCTGATTCCTTTTCTGGCCTCTACATGCACTAGGCACACACGTAGTACACAAATACACGGAGGCAAAACACCAATGCACATAAAATGTAAAAGCCAGGCAACATGGTACTCAGTTACACTACCAGTGCCGGAAAGGCAGAGCTACATGCATCTCTGTGGTTCACTGGCCAGCCAGACTAGCCTACTTGAGGTGCTTCAGAATGAGAAGCCCTGCCTCAAAAAACAAAGCCAAAGGATACCACAGAAATGATGGGGGTGGGGAGGCTGAACCCTGGCACCTGGGCATGCACTAAAACACACAGACAAAAGGTTTGTCAAAGATTTAAAAGACATAGTTGAGGAGAGAGAAGATGTCATTTATATGTCAACTTCCTCTCCTGGAAATAGGGACAAAGCAAGCTGGGTGTGCTGAAACACGCCTACAATCCCAGCATTAGAGAGGCAGAGGGAAGAGAATTATGAGTTCAAGATCAGCCTGGCCTACTTAGTGATACAATGAATCAAAAGCAAAAGGGAAGTAGGGAAATATGGGAGCGATTTTAAGAACAGATGGAAGTTACTCAGGGTCCAGACTGGGGTGGATGTCTGGGCCTGTGAATTCTGTTTTCAACCATGAAAGTGAGCTGCATATACTTCACACGAAGCCAAACCACTAGGTTAGCAGCAACACACTTTCCTGAGATTTCAACATCTTAAACTAGTTTTTTGGAAGCAGCAGGGTACCTCTGTGAAAGTTAACAGTAGCTCTTCCAAACTCAGAGGACCACCATTGTGCCAGGGAGCCAACTATCTACTTTTCAGAAAAGAGGAACCAAGAAACTTGCAAGTCCTCGCTCTCGGTTTCAAATGCCCCCCTCCCCCGCGAAAACGTGACGACTGCGTTGACCGGGTCACTCGCCTCCCCGTAAGCGTGCCTGGAGCATTTCCCACGCTCTCAGGTTTCTACCAAACAGCTCACTTCCGGCGGACAGGCCACAGAACTCAGTCCCTGCGGGAGGGTCCAAGCCCGGCCCTCGCAGCGCTTTTTACCCCGAGAGGTCTGGGTGGCGGCGGTCTTGGCTGCCGCGGACGGCGGCGAGGTGGGAGATCGGCCCGTCACGGGGAGCGGCACCGGAGCGGGACCCCCAGCGACATCCCCCTCGCCCTTCCCGGCTAGGTCTGACCCGGGCAGCCGGTGAAGGGGCCCCCGGCGGAGGCGGCGGCAGCTACTGGCCGCGGCGGCCGCTCCCGGGCGTCTCGGCCGGGCCCGACGCGCCGCCGCCTGACCTCACAACGGGAGCGGGGCGGGCGAGGGCCTGCGCAGCGAGGGCGGAGAAGCGCCCGAGTCGGGGAGAACGGAGCTCGCGTGCCCGCGCTGCGCTCACCTGTGCCGCACGCGCCATCGCGCTCCGCCACCCCCGCTTCCGCCGCGCTGCCGTCGCCCTCGCGGAGCGGGCCACACGGCTCCGGAGCCCGGGGAAAACTGCTCCTCTCCCCGTCCCGTGCCGGCCCCGCCGCCCGACGTTTCTCTCCGGGAATGCGCACGGTCGGCCTCGCCGCGCGACGCCTCCGACTTTGCGACGCTGCCGTAAAGCCGACCTTTCCACTGTCGCGATGCTGCCGTGCGTCGCGAAATCTAGAGCGCGCGGACCATGGCGGCTTTGCCGCCCGGAACCAAAGCCCTTGGACTGCCTCTCTGCCGCTTCTTCTCCGGCGGCGGCGGTCGGCTGGCCCGTGAGCGCGGTTCGGAGCGCAGGGATGCTGCGTCCAGCCGGGTAAGCGGGACGCCGGGGACGCTGGCAGGGAGGAAGGTCGCCGAGCACCTCCCAGGACGACGGCGTCTACCCGGCGGACTGATGATCACTGTAGAGGACCGCTATGGAGAGTGCGGATCTTGCTTATTCCCAAGTTAATGACCGTCTGTATTTACACAGCTCTTGAAGTGTGTACTTTCCATTTTTTGCTTCATTAAGAAGATTAGTGTTCGTCTTAACTCCCTGGCTGACTTCCTCATCGCAGTTTTGTAGACTTCACATTGCTTGTAAATATGCACAATGTCAAAGGTCCATCAGTTGCACTTCTTTGCGAGAGGATGTTTTGTCTAAGGGAGGCCTAGGTTTTGAGTCTATCGGTCAGGCGAAAATGCTGACTAAGGCTGCAGATAAAACATTAAACAGTGCCTACTAACACTTCATTTGCCACCAGGCTAATGACAGAAATTGAAGAACTTGGTTTAAACAATAATTAAAGGAGGACAAAGAGAGAGATAATTAAAAATTGCGAATGTGCCTACTGTGTCTTAGCACACTTTTATTATAATTACGGTTTTGAAGTTTTGTCAACAGTTTAGATTTGTTGCCTATGACCCTGGCTTCCGGCTCAGTTCTCTGGTACAAGAAACAAGCCTTCACTCATGTCTCTAGAAAATAGAGCTTCCACGGCTTTAATCCCAGTGCTCAGGAGGCAGAGGCTGGTGGATTTCTGTGAGTTCAAGGCTAGCCTGGTCTACAGAGCAGGTTCCAGGACAGCCAGGGCTACACAGAGAAAATCCTGTCTCCAAAACAAACAAACAAACAAACAAACAAACAAAGCCAAAAACCCCCAAAAAGGGAAGGCACTCTTGTCCACAGCACAAGTTCCAGGACAGCCAGGTCTACCAAAAACATAGATGGATAGATAGATGGATGGATGCATGCTTTGGGAGGGGGAAAAATGTAACAGCCAAGAGCTTTTCTCGTGGTGAGCTTTTTCCCTAACATTCATTCATTTCCTTATTATTACTCTGTGTGATACTGTGCTGTGGAGTTGAGAGGACAACGTTCTGGAAACCTTTCATTCTTTCCATGGTTGGAATCCATGGTAGGTCCCAGGGATGGAACTCAGGTTTTCACATGAAATGCTTTCACCCTTTGAGCTGTCTTGTCTGACCTTCCTTATCCCTGGTGGTGAACTAATGCTGGAAAAAAGACTGACAGGGAACAGTCTTTGAAGAGTCTTGCTGGAGGCATGCTGGCACAACTAGAAAGGCAAGCTGATCTGCATAACAAGTTCAGGGGGTCAGCGTTAAAAGTGAGGTCCTGTTCTCAAAACAAAAAGTAAGCCTTACCCTGGGTCTGGGTCCTCAGGGTAACACTTCAGCCTTTTGTAGTCCAAGGGGCAAGCCTGTGCAGTGGGGATGATTATGGCTAGAGGAACTGGCTACCAGCCAGAACTTGCCCAATTCTACACTGACTGCTTGTGCTATGTTTTTTAGGATCTAAATGCCCCATTATGGTAAATATTGGGTGGTACAAAAGAAAACAGTTTGCTTCAGGGCTATTTCCTATGTGCTGCTACCTTTCTTGTTTCCTGAGTAATTAAGTGATTGTAAGAAAGATTGTTGCTTTGCAAAGACCCTTTGTAAATATCAAGTCTTAAAAATAACATTGGGGGGGGGGGGGAGGCATGCCTGTAATCCCTGCACATGCAGAGGCGTGCAGATCACTGTGAGTTCGAGGCCAGCCTGGTCTACAAAGCTAGTTCAGGACAGCCAAGGCTACAGAGAAGCCCTGTCTTGAAAAAAAAACAACAAAAAATTAACATTACAGCTGGGAATGGTGGCACATGCCAGTTAATCCCAGTCCTCCCCGGTAGAGGCAGGCAGATCTCTGAGTTAGAGGTCAGCCTGGTCTGCCTACACAGAAAAACCCTAACTTGAAAAACCAAAAACAAACAAATAACTAAAAGAATTTAAAAGAACATTGCAAACATTTTCTTCAATAAAATAAATTCTATACTAGCCTGCTCTGCGTATTTTTTTCTTTAGCTATCTGGCTTTAAGGAGACCTACTTTTAGTATCTACATACCTTCATTTCTGATCTCTTTGTACTAGTTGCTTTGTACTTTTTATTTTTGTCTTTGACAGTCTTATGTACCCTAGGTTAGCCTCAGACTTTCTTGTAGCTGATGATAACCTTGAATCCTCTGCCTGCATTCCACCAGCAGGCCAGGCTGGCACCCAGCAGCAGGCCAGGCTAGCACCCAGGAATGAATCTCAACAACCCTGGGTTGTTTGCTTTTTTTGTTTGTTTGTTTGTTTGGTTTGGTTTGAGACAGAGTTTCTCTGTGTAGTCCTGGCTGTCTTAGAACTCATTCTGTAGACCAGGCTGGCCTTGAACTCTCAGAGATCTGCCTGCCTCTGCCTCTTGAGTGCTGGGATTACAGGCGTGGATCCCCCACCGAGGCTATATGAAATTTTTTAGATTTTTATGTGTATTATAGGTGTTTTACCTATGGGGATATTTGTACATGCAGTGCCTGCAGAGGCTAAGAATGGTGTGTTGGGTCCTCTGGAACTGGAGTTATAGATGGTTGTCAGCTCCCGTATGGGTGCTGGAAATTGAACTTGGGTCTTCTGGAAGAGCAGCTGATGCTCTTAATCACCATCTCCAGCTCAAGGAGTAAAAGTTTAAATGATATACAAGATGTTTACATCCTCATCATTAACAAAAGAAAAAACCCTGAAAACTTGTACACTGAACAGGCCTGTTGTCCACCACTGGAACCATGGCCTCCTGACATGGCATGTCATTACTTCTCTGGCATTCATCAGAAATGTCAGGTATAGTGCCTCATGCCCACGATCCTGTCACTTGGGATGCTCCAGTGAAAGAATTAGAATTCAAAGCTATCCTCAGTGACAGAGAATTCTGAGGACAACCTGGGCTACATAATTTTGGAGAAAATGCTTTCTCAAAAAAAAAAAAAAAAGTCACTGTTAACTTCATAAAATGTTGCCAGGCAGTAATGTCACTCGCTTGCCTTCATTCAACCAGCACCTGGGAGGCAGAGACAGGCTGATCTCTGAGTTCGATTTAGCAGCATCATTGTATTTGTTGTGAATTCCGAAGTGATGGCAACTAGGCTTTGAAGTATCCTTTTGTAAATAGTCAGTGATTGTTATCTGAGGTACTTGAAGTTGTCTTCCTGAAGCATTCACAGAGCCTTTGCATAACTTAGACATACCTGACAAACCAGGAAGCCTGGCAGAGAACTTCAGACAACCCCTAGATCAGATGAGAGGTTTGGTATCAGAAACTGACTTGCTGAAAGTACCTTTTGTAACAATACAGAGGCTTCTTGTAAGGTGGCTTCATTCCTCACAGGCTGATCAACCCTCAGAAGCCTGAATTCATCCTGTGTGTCTCTTTCTCTGATCAATACAGAATGAGTTCTAGGACAGCCAGGACTACACAGAGAAACAATGGTACAAAAAACAAAAAACAAAACAAAACAAAAAAAAAACATGCTTTTTTGTAATGGAAGTTTTGGTTTCTTTGTAAACTCAGTTATGTAAATATGTTTTTGTTTTAATCCCAAGTGTGAGATTTTAGTCGGGCTATAGTTTTCTCCACAACTGTTGTCTCCTGAGGGGCCTGGCTTTTGCCAGCCAGTACCAGCCTTCCAAGCGAGGGTAATGGTCTAGGACTCTGAGGGTACCAATTTGAGAGCCCAGAAAGAAAAGGGGTGGCTAGGGTGTTGGCCTGTGTTGTGTAGCAGTTTAAACAGACCAGAGACTGGTGGTTTGGAGCTTCTGGGACGCAGCGGCATGGAAGCCACTTTTGCTGTTGATGGAGATTGGTATATCACCCAAAGACCCATTGACCCTAAACAGCCGGGAGAAGTAAAGGGGTCTCTTTGTTCCATCTCCCGACTAACCTTCTTTCTCTCCTACTTAGGGCTGGGGGGTTTGGTGGAGGGAAGTAAAGGCCTAAACATCCCAAATAAACTAGCGTTTTAACAATGAGTACAACACTTTTCCTGTTCTGGGGATTATTTATTTTGGTTTAAACTTTTCAGCAACTAGGAGAACCTTCTGGACCTTTGGGCCTGAGTTTTAAAAGAACAGGCCATTTTGATATTTTTTAGAGAGAGCAAAGGGCAACTGGAAATACTACATACAAGCTGGATTTAGTGGGCACGCCTGTATTCCCAGCGGAGGGAGGCAGAGGTAGGCTGAACTGAGTTCAGGGCCAGCCTGCTCCACGGAATGAGTTCCAGGGCAGCTACACAGAGAAACCCTGTTTCAAACAGCCAAAAGAGAAAGAAAGAAAGAAAGAAAGAAAGAAAGAAAGAAAGAAAGAAAGAAAGAAAGAAAGAAAGAAAGAAAGAAAGAAAGAAAGAAGAAAGAAAGAAAAGAGAAAAGAAAGAAAGAAAAGAGGAAAGAAAGAATAAAGAAATACTGGTACTGATAGTTTTATGTCAACTTGACACAAGCTAAAGTCATCTGAGAGGAGGGGACCCCAATTAAGAAAATGTCGCCAGCCAGGAGGCAGAGGCAGGCCTCTGAGTTTGAGTCCAGGACAGTTCTACAGAGTTCCCGGAGAGTCAGGGCTACACAGAGAAATCCTGTTTTGCAAAAAATGTCTCAGTCAGATCTGGTTGTATGTTGCAAGCCCCATTTTCGTAGGTAGTGATTGATGTGGGATGGCGCAGCCCGTTGTGGGTGGTGCCATTCCTGGGCTAGTGGCCCTGGATTCCCTAGGAAGGCAGGCTGGGTGAGAGAAGCCCAGTTGAGCAAGGCAGTAAGCATCCCTCTGTGCTCTCTGCATCAGCTCCAGGTTCTTGCCCTGTGTGAGCACCTGACCTCACTCGTATATGGAACTGTGAGTGAAGTAAACCCTTTCCTCCCCAAGTTGCTTTAAAAAAAAAAAACAAATTATGTATTCAGTATTCTGCCTGCATATATGTCTGCATGCCAAAAGAGGACATCTGTTCTCATTATAGATGGTTGTGAGCCACCATGTGGTTGCTGGGAATTGAACTCAGGACCTTTGGAAGAGCAGCTATCTCTCCACCCCCACCCCAGTTGCTTTAGGTCATGGTGTTTTATCACAGCAGTAGTCACCCTGACTAAGACAGCACTGCAGGGCCCATCTGTGAAGTGGGCCTTGGATCCGGAGCTGTTAGGAAAGACAAAGATAATAAAGCAGCAAATGTGGAGGGGGGCCCAGGCAGGAAGCCCCTGCTGCGGTCAGTTCTGTGTGCTCTCCTTTGTATTTGACACTGAAGATAGCAGATTCTGCGACTTGCTTTTTCTAGTGTTAAACCTTTGCAGGCCTGGAGGGATAGCATCTTGCTTCACTGGTTTATGTAACCGCTTTATGCAGTAGGGCCTGGGGCCCTAACTCCGGCCGCCTCTGGCAAGCATGCACACTCCCTGCTGTCTTGCTCCCGCTGTGGTTCTGCGCTGTGCAGCACTGCCTGCAAGGAGACACCACAGCCCGGCTTGCCTCTCAGGCATGTTGGATTCTTGTCTGAGACCCTGCAGGGTGCATGGCCCACAGGGAGGCTCCCTTCCCACGCACAGCCCTCCTGGCCACACTTCAGGAAGCCAGGCATTGTGTTCGCACAGTGTAAGAGCTAAATCACAGTAATTATTCACTCTACAAAGGGAGGCCTTTTTAAATTTGTATTTTATTTTTTTACAAAAGGGCTTTCTTTTCCCCTCCCCCAAGCCTCTTGCTTTCTTTCCTAATAGCACCTACTTGGTAAACACAGTATTTTCATGTAGGGAAAGTAGAGGCATTAACCCATCATAGTCAAAGATAAATCTTGTTCAAGTTATGAAAAACAGAATGAGCGAAGATGTGTGGGGGCTGCCCTGTGGAAGCAGGCGGGCTGCCACCAGCAGATCTGTGTGAAGAAGCCATGCGCTCCTGGCTCTCTGTGCTGTGCAGTCAGCAGTCAGCCGTGCTGGGCAACCTGTTATTAAATTTTGTGGCAGGGTCACATTGTGCACCCTTAGCTAGCCTGGCACTATGTAGATCGGGCCGGCCTGGAATGTCCTTGCCTCTCCCTCCTGAGTACTGTCATTAAAGGTGCATGTGGGGTGGATCTTTTAACATTTCTTCTTTTTGTTGTTTTGGTTTCAGTGTTTTGAGACAGGGTTTCTTTGTGTGGTCTTTGCCGTCTTGGTTTTATAGACCAGGCTGGCCTCGAACTCACAGAGATCCACCTGCCTCTGCCTCCCTGAGTGCTAGGTTACAGGCATGTAAAGCCACTGCACCTGGCTTTAACATTTCTTCCTGGAGATGGAGACTGTAAGAAGAAAAGAGTGGGCTGGACCTGGTGGCGCACACCTTTGATCCCGGGGAGGCAGAGGCAGGCAGATCTTGGTGAGTTCAAAGCCAGCCAAAGCCAGCGAGTTGGGAGGCTAGAGACATGGCTTATATGGTCAAGTATGTGCCACACAATCAGGAAGACTTACTTTGGATCCCTAGTACCCATGTAAAAATCCAGTGTGCTATAATCCTAGTGGTGGGTGTGGACATGGAAACAGGCTGATCCCTGAAGCTTATCGGCTGGCCAGCAACTTAGCCAGTTAGGCGAGTTTCAGGTTTGGAGAGAGGACCCATTTCAAATAATAACGGTGTGGGAAGTGATCAAGGAAGACACCTGCCATTGGCGTCTGACTTGCTCTTTAAACGTCTGAATATGTTGGTGCTCCCCTATCCAAACTTGCCATGTGTGATGGAATGGTTGAGCCTGGGTTGGGGAGATAGCTCTGTGGCATAGTCACTGGTGCTCACACCTTCAACCCTAACAAATAAACACACACACACACACACACACACACACACACACACACACACACACGTAAGCCACTGAGGACACTGGGACTGTCTGTAGCTCAGTCATAGCTTGAATGGGTAGGGTCCAGAGTTTGATACAGCACCACAAGAAAAGATAACAAATTTTAAAAAATATTATGGCTGACAAGGTGTCTCAATGGTTGAGAGCACTGCCTGTTCTTACAGAGGGTCCAGATTCAATTCTCAGCACCTATATAGTTCACAATGGACTATAAATCTATTTCCAGAGGATCTGACACCCTCTTGTGGCCTTTACAGGTACTGAGCATACATGCAGGCAAAACACCTGTACACATAAAAATAAACTTTAAAAAATTAAAATGTGCCAGGCGCAGTGGCACATGCCTGTAATCCCAGCACCCAGGGAGGCAGAGGCAGCAGGATCTCTGGGAGTTTGAGGACAGCCAAGAGTACACAGAGAAACCCTGTTTGGGGTGGGCGGGTATTAAAATGGTTTTAGTTAGGTGTGTGTACAAGTGTGGGTATATGTACCAGCAGCGCAGGCACGCACAAAGTCTAGACGTGTCTGTCAGAGCCGCCTGGGCCTGGAAAGACAGGCAGTTTTGAGCTGCCTGACATGAGTACTAGGAACTGTTCTTGGGGTCTGTGAAAGAGACCAAGTGCTGTTAACCACTGGGCCATCTCCAGCCTTGCCGAGGGCATTTCGGTTTTCTTTCCTTTCTTTTGTGAGTAACCCTGGCTGTCCTAGAAGTCACTCTGTGTAGACCAGGCTGGCTTTGAACTCAGAGATCGGCCTGCCTCTGCTTCCTGAGGGGTGGGATTACAGGTACACAATGCCGCAGACACTGCCACCCCACCACCACCCCACCACCCCACCCCAGCCAGGGTTTTCAAAGAAAGCACTTAGACATTGCTTTGGCTGCAGCCTGGAGTAGTATGGGCAGAAGTGCAGAAGATCAAGGGTGGGGCCAGTGTGGAGGAACTGGTTCCCACGGTAATGGTGTTTATAGAGGGCCAAAATAAGTTTGTGCCTCAGCCTCCTAAGTGCTGGAATTGCAGACACAGCCCCTCTGCTGAGATCATTTCTTTTTTCTGAATAGCAAAACATGAGGTCTGGTTTCAGTCTTTATTTACAACTATAGAATGTAATAAGTAGAAGCTTCAGAGGCTGGAGGTGTGGCTCCTTGTGCCAGAGCTCTTGCCAACAAACCTGAAACACTTTAATTGAGCTGCATCCCAGCCCATCTTTCCAGACTTGATTTTGAATAACAGTACTCACAGGAAGAGCCTCTGTTTTAAGATGGTGTTAGGGCTGGAGAGGGCATTCAGTTAGGAGCACTGGCTGCTCTTCCAGAGGACCCGGGTTCAATTCCCAGCACCCACATGGCAGCTCACAACTGTAACTCCAGTCCCAAAGGATCTAACACCCTCACACAGACAAAACAACAATGCCCAAAAATAAAATCTTTGTAAATATAAAAAAAGGTGATTGATATGGTAAACATACAAATTAGACCCAACAACAAGCATATACTTAGAATATTGGATTTTTCTAAATATTTATTTTAAGGGATTTATTTTTATTTATGATTGTGTAAATCTGTGTGATGTGTGTTTGCTGAGGCCTGAGGAGGGTGTTAGACGCCCTTGAAGTTGGAGTTACAGGTACCTGTGAACCACAAAAGAAGAGGGCTGCTGGATCCATCCGCTAAGAGAGCGGCACGTACTTTCTGATAAAAATAAAATGAAATGAGCTAATGGAGAAGTTATATAAATGCAGGTTTATTGGAAGCGGCAGGAAGGGGAGAGAAGGGAGAAGTGTGAACAGAGGAGGAGGAGGGGAGAAGAGGAGAGACGGGGGGGGGGGAGAAAGGGAAGGGGAGGGAACAAAATGTCTGTCTGGATTATGTAGTGAAGAGCCTCTGGTAGAGGGGAAGCTCTGCCCTGGGCTGGGGAATTTAAGGTACAGGGCAGGATCTGCCAGCCCAGCTACGGCTACAGGGCAAAGGGACCAGGAGATGTTTGGAACCAAACGTTTTTAATCACTGAGCCACAACTCCCCCCCCGCCCACCTCCGTTTATTTTTATTTTATTTTTTTGACAGGATCTCACTATGTAACCCTGGATAATCTGGATATGTAGGTCAGACTTACATATCTATCTGCCTGTCTCCCAAGCACTAGAACTAAAGGTGTGCGCTACCACCAACTGGCCTCAGTAGTATCTTCACAAGAGCACAGTACACACACACACACACACACACACACACACACACACACACACGATACATTCGAATTCCACAATGAATCCGACTTTATTGCCACCTACTGTATCTTACAATATTAACTGTATGCTCACCGTTTCTTGCATTAATTCACAGGGTAAGCTGATAAGGGCCTTGAATAAATGCAGGTTGCTAATTTTATAACACCAGGGTCTGGTTTAGTTGCATGTTAATTCCATTCATTTTATTAAAGGTCTCAAGATTCTGCCCTCCAAGACAGTCTTGCCATGACTGGATAGGACCCCCAGATCAATACTCAAACCTTCGTCCTGTTCATTTTCACGTCCCTGAAGACGAGTCCCCCTTGGAACAAAGGCTTAGAGAATTGAGGCAAGAAACACAAGAATGGAACCAGCAGTTCTGGGCCAACCAGAATTTGTCTTTCAATAAGGTAAATGTGGGGTTCAGCTCCATGAGGAATAATACTCTCAGCCACTTGGGGGCACTAAATCTTTAGCGTTTACATTGTAGCCTTTCTGTTTGGGGTTTGTGTGAGTATGTAGAATATTTTGTCTTAAATAGTGTGTTTAGGAGCCAGGTGTGGTGATGCATTCCTTTATTCCTAGCACTTGGCCTTCAAAGGCAGGATGATCTCCAGTTCAAGGCCAGTTTTCCACCCTAGTGAGCTCCAGACTAGCCAGAGATACATAGTAATATCCTGTAAAAAAAAAAAAAAAAAAAAAAAAAAAAAAAGGCTTTAGGAGATAAAGAGATTGTATTAAAGCAGCATGTAACTGTATGGAAGACAAGGCCAGTCTCTACTATGTAGCAAGTTTAAGTCCATCCTGGGCTACATGAGAAAAGTCCTGTGTCAAGCATAAAACTAACCAGGCTCAGATGGCTTCACACCCACTCTGATGGCAGCTGGAGCATCTCTCAATGGTTAGAGCACTGGCTGATCTTTCAGAAGACCACTTTCAATTCCTAGCACCCGCATTGCAGTTAACAAGTGTCTCACCCTGTTCCAGGGGGTCCAGTGACCTCTTCTGGCCTCTTCAAGCACTGTGCATGCATGTTGTACACAGACACGCATGCAGACTCTCATATATACACACGAAACAAATCTTAAAAACCAGGCTTTACAAGTGTCATGCTTCTCAGGAAATGTACCCCAAACTTCTCAGCATTGTGCTCAAGCTGAGAGTAGTAGAAAGCAAGAGAAAAAATTCGTCTCTCTCCTCTTGTTTTAGTGCCTGGAATTAATCCTAGGGCTTTGCACTAGGCTTTGCACTTTAAACAGGTACTCTGCCCTGTTTAATCTTTATCTTAAGATCAAGGCCTATTAAGTTGTCCATGATGCTTTGAACTCACACCTGCCCCAGCCTCCTGAGGAGCTAAGCTTACAGGCATGCACCACCTCTCCTGCCTAAGAACACAGTTGTTTGGGTTTTAATATTTTTTAAATTAATTTTGATTTTGTGGGACAGGGTCTCATATAACCCAGGGTGGGCTCAAACTTGTAGCTGAGAATGACCTTGACCTCCTGATACTCCTGTCTCCACTTCCCAAGTTCAGGGAGTATGGGTGTGTACTAAACACCTGGCTAAGAGAGTTTTGATGTCGCCTTTCAGGAAAAAGAAGAATTCATTTACTCAAGACTCCAAGCTAAAGGCTTAGGCCTTCGAACCAAGTCAGGTTAGTAGCTGGCGCCGTGTTGGTGTTGTGAGAGAGGGGATGCACAGGGGCAGAGAGCCTGTGTCCTCACTTCTCATCTCACCGGCCTGCAGACTTGTGTTCCTGTGTGTATGTGTGCCATCGGGTTCCCACAAGCTCCTGGCCCCCTCTCCTCTTTCCTTCTGCAGCCTCTCGGGGGTTAGCTCTTCCTTTTTCCTTTGCCTTTCTTTTCCTCGTATGGTCCTGGGGTGTGGGGAGCAGGGCCTCAGCAGTGGCTGTCCTCAGACAGGAGGACAGAGCCACCCTAGGGCTTCTTCCTTTGTTCTTAAGATCCTCTCCTGCCCTATCTTGCCCCTCTCTTGCTTTACACAATCTGGCCCTCCGCCTGCCTCCCTGTTTATTTCTCTGTCCAGTGATGCCAACCCCAGGCCAGCTTCCAGCCATGCTGGGCCCTGGATTAGCAGACAGAGATGGGGTTGTGTTGAATTAGCCTGGCTGCTGCCATGGGAACGCAGGATGAAGGAGGCCCAGAGGGATGGCCAGACAAAGGGGTCAGTGTCCAGAAAACACACACAGTTCGTCTTGAGTAGCAGATGGGTGGTGTTTGTAGCCAAGATGACATAGACCATCTGGACTTTTAAACAGGCTGCAACAAATTTGTCTTAATAACAACACCTGTGGACTGACTGCTCGAGGAGGAAGCTTTAAACAAACAGGACAAACAGAGCAGCAAGGCGTCAGTCTGCTTTCTGAATTTATAGGGAAGTTTTCATCGACACTTAGTCCTGGTGGAGTTGCTTTGGTGGCTGATGGCAGGCTGAAATCCCTAGCCCTTTTCTAGAAAAAAGCAAGCAATGTCCATGACCATCTCTAAGACGCCCTAATGGGACAGTGAGTTCAGCAAGTTTTCCTTACAGGCTGTCTTTAACTGCAAAGTGGCGATGTCTGGATGCCCAGTGATTGCAGACTAGATGGAGCAGTTGGCCACCTGCTGGCTGAATGTTCTGCAAATTCTGCTGCAGTGTGGGAAGTTCACTGACTGACTTCAAGTGCAGAAAGCAGGCAGCCCTAATGTCATCTGTGGACAGCGGTGGCAGGAGGGAGTCTTCCCTGCCCTTTTTTTGACTGCACCAGTGTTTGTGCATCCAGAAAAGAGGGAGCCATGGAGACAGATCCTCCTCAGATGGCGTTTGTGAGACACCCACATGTTTTCAGTAACGATGTAATAAATTGAGTTTTCCCTCTCCCTTCCTCCTCCTCCCTTCCTGTTCCAGCCCTTCTCTTTACCCTGTTCCCTGCTCCAGTTTGCTTTATATTCAGTAACAAGAGGCAGAGATGCTGATGTGGAGGAAGAATGGCTTGGCCAGCATTGGTGGGGTTCCTGTGGGGGGACCCTAGGCCCGTCTGAGAGCTTCTTGGGGACTCATCAGGGGTGTGCAGCTCTGCCTGCCTCCACCCTTCCCTGTGCACACTGACTGCAGCAATGGCAAGCCTACCTGGAGCCTCCTCTCCCCACTCCAACTACTGTCAAGTATCAGAGAAGCTTTTGTGAGGCTGTGCTGTGCTGATCATTTACTAGATGAAGAAGTAGGCGTAGGGAGGACACAGTGTGAGTCTCCGAGGCCAACAGGGAGGAGCCTGTCCCTCCAGTGAAACAGCCAGTGCTGCTGTTGCCAGGGGAACAGCTTGCTGTTTTGACAGTCCCTCCCTTGTAATGAAAGGCTCAGAGGTGCTGCTGGAGCAAAGGGAACTCCCTTCTCTGAGGATCAGCTAAGACTGCCACCCGGGAAGCATGTCCCCACTGGGCTCCATCCTGGTGCCCCCAGTCTGCTCCTATTTTCCCCACCTGCCTGTGTCTTTCCTTTGAGACCAGCTTACCCATCACCTTCCCTGGGAGCCTTTGGCGTTCCTTACCTCTCGGTGGTAGGCACTCCTCACTTCATCTGAGTAGCATCTGTGTTCATAGAGGCATCCATTGGCCACTGGGATGGGGTGGGTAGAGCAGAACTGTGGGGCTGACAAGCCAACAGAGCAGGGGCAGCACACAGGTGGGTTCAAACTGCACTTCTCGCATGTGGACCCTTGGACAGAACTAGCAGGGAATTAGGGAGGTGAGTGGGCACCTGACAGTGTCCTGTGTGTGTGTGTGTTTCCTCAGGAGAGTCCTCTAGGCAGAGGGGACAGCAGGAAGGCTGAGTCAGAAACAAACACATCTCAAGAAAAAAGTGCTGTGTGGTCAGCACAGTGGAGAACACTGCTGAGCTCGTGACAAGGGCTTGATTCTTCCACGCGCTCTGTGCATTAGCAGGCGTGCATGGCACACGTGCTGTTTGTCTGCACCATGGAGTAAACTGAGGCACAGAGGATGGCAGATCACGACACCCTCCTAATAGGAGGCAGGCCGAGGCTGGACACGGAAGTGCAGCTGTGGAGCTGAACCAGTCTTCCCACTCGGTGTTGACATTCTGGCCATGCGTGTCCAGGTGGGGGTGAGGGGCGGTGGCTCCCACAGGTGCACTGTGCAGCAGTGCTCTCCGTGAGGCATCGCATCGCACCCACGCCTGGAGGAGAAGCGCGTGGCCTCTGCCTTGCCCTCCGCGCAGTTCAGGAGGTGGTTGGTGTTTGGCTTTCAGCTTCCGTGTCAGGGTACCCCATCCCTCATTCACCCTCCGCTACCTCGGAGTCTCATTCCTTTGCCGTCGCCCTGAGCCTGGCCTCTGCGCCAGTGCCCACCCCAGGACCGTTTGGGTTTTCATGAGTAGGTTAGTCCTGAGAGTGGGTGCAGCCACAGGTGGGGCATCCGAGAGCGTCACCTGTCCCCGCTACAGCTGTCGTCGGTGCCTGGGTGTGTGTGCTGGCTCAGGGCACACAATTGCTTCCCCCAGTGCGGACTGGCTGTAGCTGCCCACTGTGCTCAGGTTCATCCCTGGGCCCATGCTCTGCCGGTTGACCCGTGCCCGCCTGGCTGCGACAGTGCTGCGCGGCCCGCCGCTGCAGCTCCATACGAGTTCTGGAGTTGGGACATGTGAGCTTTGTCTCTTTCTTTTGTTTGTTTTAGTTTTTGAGACAAGGTTTTTCTATGTAATCTTGCCTGGCCTGGACTCACTGTGTAGTCCAGGTTGGCCTTGAACTCATGGAAATCACTTGCCCCTACCTTCTGATTGCTAGGATAAAAGGCTAACGTTGTCCTGTTCTCTCGCCCCCATTGTTTTGACTGTTAAATTCTTTGACTTTCCATTTGAATTATAAGATGGTTGGGTTTTTGTTGTTGCTGTTTTTTCGAGGCAGGGTTTCTCTGTGTAGCCCTGGCTTGCTTTGTAGACCAGGCTGGGCTTGAACTCAGACATCCTCCTACGTCTGCCTCTAGAGTGCTTACATTAAAGGCATGCACCACCACTGCCATTCGAGGTGGCGAATGCCTTTAGTCCCAGCACTCCACAGGCAGAGGCAGGAGGATTATGTGAGTTTGCATCCAGGCTTGTTTATAGCATGAGTTCCAGGATGACCAGGGCTACACAGAGAAACCCTGTCTCAAAAAAAAAGAGAGAATCTTTATGTGTGTCGGGGTTGGTGGTGATGGTGTTCTTTTTTTTTTTTTTTTTTTAAAGATTTATTTATTATTTATACAACATTCTGCCTGCACACCAGATCTTACTATAGATGGTTATGAGCCACCATGTGATTGCTGGGGATTGAACTCAGGACCTTTGGAAGAGCAGCCAGTGTTCTTAACCTCTGAGCCATCTCTCCAGCCCGGTGATGGTGTTCTTAACACAATCTCAATAGTTCGATTTTCCCCAATAAAGACTCGAGTCCGTGCTGGTGCGAAGAGTGGCAGAGAGGCAGCTGGCCTTCCTGCTCAGCATACGCCCCAGAAGAGAAAACAGCCTTCTTCCCCAGCATGTCTCCAGAAAACCTCAGACTGCGTGTCCCCCCTTCTTCCTATGCACCCGTCTCTCCATCCTCCTGACTCCCTCTTACGCCATTGTTTATTTCTCTCTTCACTCCTTGTCAGCTGGTTGCTTGCTCCTCCTCTTTTCTGTAGTTGACTTTATTTAATCCTGTGCAAGCAGAAAGCTCTTGGATTAAAGGTGTATGTGAGGGCTGGCCACACCACAACTAGAAACAGGCTTTTCCAGAAAACAGCACAATCTCAGGGTTCACAGTGTGACCAGATATCCTGCAGCAGGGTGGTTCAGCCTTGGCATGCTTGTGGAGGTCAGAGCACAGTTAGTGGGAGTTGATTCTCTCCTTTTACGTTCTGGGTCCCAGGGAATCAGCTCAGGTCTTTAGACTCGGCACCACGTGCCCTGACCCATAGCAGGATCTCCTTGTAAGCAAGGCTGGCCTCCACCTCCCGAGCCCCCTCTCTCCACCAGCAGTTCTAGGGTGATGAGTGTGCGCCAGCACTGCCAGCTTCTCCCCGTGTCCTGTCGCATTTAAGTTGAAATTTACTTCTAGGTCAGAGAGCAACGCTGGATGCGGAGGAGATGGCTGACTTTTATAAGGAGTTTCTGAGTAAGAATTTCCAGAAGCACATGTGCTATAACCGGTAAGCGTTCCCGTCTTCCCTGAGGGTCACCTAGCGCATCCTCATCTGGGTGTTTCTTGCCTTAGTCTAACAGCTTTGCTGTTTTCAGTAGAGGTGGGGGCTCCGTGACTTTGTGGTTCCCTCTGCAGTTTTAACTAAACCGTCAGCCTCAGTGTGTGCATGGCACCCACAGCGCTTCTGAAGTGTCCGGAAGACGCTCCCTAAGTGTCTTTCCTTGGACTTGTCGGGTCAGTCAGGACATGGCCTGGGTGGGAGCAAGGAGGTCAGTAGAGATCCAGGGCCACAGGAGAGCCATGCAGGGCCCGCACAGAAGCTGCACCCCAGTGAGTCAGCCTCCCACAATGCTGCATGTACAGGGTACAGAATGGCACTGTACACGCGTGTCTGTGCTGATACTCACAGAATGGTCCTAACTCCTCCTGGCCACACGTGGAAAAGCTTGCCTGCCCCTGTGCCAGTAGTAGTTAAAGGTAACCACATTTTAAACACATTTATGGACACTCATGTAGCTGGACTTTTGACTGCTTTATTGGATCTCCCTATGTCACCCCTATCCCTGCCAGCCCCTCAACATAAGGTAGGAGAGAAAGAAGGTGAGAGGAGAAAGTGGGCGGGGATATCATTAGACTACTTCCTGCTGATTAGGGGTTCCCTGGGGAGGGTTTGATCAGGATATCTCCAACCAGCAATCAGGCCGGCAGCAAGCAGCAACAGCAGCAGAAGCAAACAGCAGCAGGAGATCAGCAGCCACTCCAGGCCCCTCAGGGCTCTCCGATTTATACCCTCTGAAGAGTTCCCGGAATTCCAGACGTAAGCTATCTGGAACCACAGCCCTGCCAGAGCACAAGACAAATCAGAGTTAGCTACTGTGGTCAGTCAGAAGCAGCCCATATCCCACCCCTGGGATTAAAACAAAAACATATTCACATAGTATTTCTGTTTTTATTTAGGGTTCGTTGTTTTTTGTTTTTGTTTTTTTTAAAGATTTATTCATTTTATATGTATACGGTGTTCTGTCCGCATGTATACCTGCACGCCATCTCTCCAGCCCACATTTCTGTTTTTAAAGAAACCAAAATTTGGGCTGGAGAGATGGCTTGGAGGTTAAGAGCACTGGCTGCTCTTCCTAAGGTTCAATTCCCAGCAACCACATGGTGGCTCACAACCATCTATAGTGAGATCTGGTGCCCTCTTCTGGCATGTGGGTGTACACCAGGCAGAACACTGTATACATAATAAATAAATAAATCTTTAAAAAAAAAGGAAAAGAAAAAACACAATCAAAATTCTTACTGCACACTCAGGCAGGCTGGTCAGTGGTGGCACACACCTTTAATCCTCTCACTTAGGAGGCAGAGGCAGGTGGATCTCTGTGAGTTTGAAGCCAGGTTAGTCTACAGAGTGAGTCCCAGAACAGTCGGGGCTACACAGAGAAACCCTGTCTTGGGGGGGAGGGGAAGAACACACTATGAGTGATTATTTTCCTGTTGGTAGAGAGATCTAGATGCCTGTCATCCCTGGCTGCTGAAACTACCTGGGGATGACAGATCAGGAGGGAGCACAGCCCAGGCCTGAAAGGTGTTCTCATGAGAGGTGGGGTTGTAGTGTGTCTGGGATTCTAAATCTAATACAGACCGTAGGCAAACAGCAAAGGGGTGTGCATATGTGGGGTGTGTGCCGAAGACATTTGGGAGCCCAGCACAGCGGCCATGAGTTAGACGATCATCTGTCAGTTCGTGGTCTTTTTTATTTATTTACTTATGTTTGAGACAAGGTCTCATCTACAGGCCTGACCCGCTGGAAACTTGCTCAGCAGACCAGGCCTCTGCCGTAGGAGTGCTAGAATTAACAAGCAGGTGACACCGGGTTTGGCTTGTTTTTGTTACTGTTGTTATTTGGTTGGTTGGTTGGTTGGTTGGTTTGGTTTTTTTGAGAAAGTGTCTCACTGTGTAGTTCTGGCTGTTCTGGAACTCACTATGTAGATCTGGCTGGCCTCAAACTCACAGAGATTCTGCCTACACTCACTTCCCAAGTGCTGAGAGATTAAAAGTGTGGGCCACCATGGTTGGCCTGATATATCTGATTTTTTTTTTTTTTTAAGAAGATTTTAGTTGTTTGTTATATCTGGTAAAGCAGTTAAAATGCAACTTGAGATTTGCTTTAAAATACAGCAGTGGCAGGGCTGGGTGTGGCCAGAGTGCAAGGTCTCAGAGAGCATGGGCGGCAGTGGGGGTGATGAGGGCAGAAGGCAGGGCTGGCGGTCAGGCCTGGAGTCGGTGTCTGTGGGGCAGTACCTGACCGAGCCGGTCACCCGGCCTCCTGAGCGTGAGGACACAGAGCCCTGCTGCCCCCTACAGGCTCAGTGAAAGCTGCTCTCAGGAGGCCGCCTCAGAACACAAACAGGAAGGCTCAGCTGGCTTGTCCCCAGAGATCACATCAGATCATGTGCTTTGCCAGAGCCACGTGGCTCTGCTTGGCCTGAGGCGCATGGAGTGGCGGCTTGCACTCCCACAGCCTTTCCCGGGTGCTTGGGTGCTGCTTGGTAGTGGACTTGCTTCAGCTGCTGAGTAGTGAGCTTCTCATGTGGACTTTGGGGACTCAGACTGGCTGGCGAGCACTGCCACCTCCCTAGGGCTTCCGTTCCTCTCCTGCCTTCTGTCCTGAGAGCCAAGTGGCTCCAGCCCTGGCAGAAGCGGCTCAGGGCCTGGCACTGCTGCTGCTGGCGGCCTTGGGGCGGCAGGGGCTTGTGCCCAGGGTCTGAGATGCATCTGTCCTCCTGCAGTAAGCTCTTCAGACTTCACCGGTAGGCTCGGTGCTGCCACCAGTGGTGGGCCTCCACTGAATGACTTGCAGGCAGCAGCCATGGTTTTTTTTTTTTTTTTTTTTTTTTTGGTTTTGGTTTTTCAAGACAGGGTTTCTCTGTGTAGCCCCGGCTGTCCTTGACTAGCTTTGTAGAGCAGGTTGGCCTGGCCTCAAACTCACAGAGATCCACCTGCCTCTGTCCCTGAGTGCTGGGATTTCAGGCGTGAGCCACTGTACCCAGCCTGTGTATTTTCTTTGTACAAATTCCACCAGGGTGTGTATGAGAGGATCAGAAACCTGTCATCCAGGAGAAAGGGGATTTAGAGGAAGACAATTCGGTGTCCTACTGTGGAGCTCTTTGGCTGTGTACTTTTCATACAAACTAGACCAAAGCAGGACCTCCCTACCCCAGGACCCTAGAAAGCCTGATAGGTTATGTTCCTGTTATCACTGCCTGTCTAGGAATGCTGCTGGCTTCAGAGGGGATCTTAGGAACCTTCAGTGAAGGCCAGAGGACAGTCAGAGCCTTCCATACAGAGGGGAGCTGGCCGGCTGGAGTGGGGAGTCAATCGAGCACACATCCAGGGCCCGGTGCCTGCAGTTGACCAGTGCCTCTTTCTCCGTAGAGACTGGTACAAGCGGAATTTTGCCATCACTTTCTTCATGGGGAAAGTGGCACTGGAGAGGCTGTGGAGCAAGCTGACACAGAAGCCAAAGAAGATGAGCAGTTAGGAGCCCACCTGGACGTGACCCCCAGTACCCAGGTTCCTTTATGAGGGCCCTGGAGACTAAGTGAGCACGAGTCCCTTGGCCTGTGTTCAGACCCTTCCTGACTGCATCCTAGCTGGCTTGTTCTCATCGATACATTGTATATTTATCGTCTGTGTTTTGAATTGTACCAATTCAGAACGTAACAATGTAAAAATGTGAATAAAGTTTCACTGCAGGAATTTAAACCTGTTGAAGTTAGGCGTGAACCTTCACCTGGCTGTGGTGGTGTGGTGGGGATCCTCAGATCTAAGCCCCAAAGACGGCGAAGTCAAACACAGAAGGTGCAGTGTCTCTGTGAAAGGCTGGTTATCACAGAGGGGTGCCATCATTGTGCCGTGAGGCCACGGCCTCGGCTTCCAAAGGCACTGCATAGCAGCCATCACCGCATGGGTAAGGGCGCCTCAGAAAAGAGGACACGGAACTGTGTGTGGTTGATGTGGGCTGACGCCACCATTACGGTTCAGATCTGACCATCTCCACAGGCTCAGCTGCAGAAGGCTTAGTTCCCAGCTGGTGGCACCATGGGGAGGTGGAGCCTAGCTGGAGGTAGTAGGTCGGAGGGCATACCCTCAAAGGGGCCAGCAGGAGTCCAGCCCCATCTCTCTCTCTCTGCAACCTCCTCTGCCACATGCTTTCTGACGGGAGGTGGCACCTCACCAGCAGCCCAAAGGCAGGGGGCAGAGTGAGCTGGACTGGAGCCTCCGGAGCTGAGACGGCGACCTTTCCTCCTCTACAGTGACGTCTTCAGGAGCTCATCAGTAATGAGAGGCCGATGCTGTCGCCATGCATGCTGCTACCTAAGGACCTTGCCAAACCTGTGCGGGTACCACATCACCAGTGTTCTCCTCACTTGTCCCAGAGTTGTCACGCTATTTCAGGGAGATCGCCATTGTTGAACAGACCAGCTCTGCTCCTCAGCTAGTGGCTTGGTGACCTGTCCAAGTGTATCCATTGTATGGGCCGCCACTGGTCCTCAGGGCTCCGGGAACCAAGCTTGTTTCAGGGAAAGAGCCTGGAGTGCACTTTAGTTAGGGAGGGGCAGGTGGCATGAGAGCCAGGGACATGGGAAACACTCCCCAGGCCCCACAGCTGAAGGCCAGGGACTGTGCCCGAGTTCCAGGTCAGCGGCTGCCTCTGCAGAAGTAGGGGCAGGGCCTTGTCAGGTCCTCATTTGGTGGAAGTGACTACAAGTAGGTGACAGGGACTTGAGACTCTCATTACCCTGCCCCTCAGGTTGAAGGCCAAAGCTGCTGTCTCCTTTTTATAGTTGTTTATTGGTGGGTGTGTGTGTGTGTGTGCGCGTGCGCGCGCAGACAGCTCTCAGGAGTTGCTCCCTTTTACCATGCTGGTTCCAGAGATTGAACTCAGGCCAGCAGGTTAGAGGGGAGAACCTTCACCCTCTGAAGAGCCATCGCCCTGGCCCCAAGGGTGCTGTCTTTGAGGAGTGGCTTCACAATAGCTGTTAGGACTGTCTGAAGCTGGACAGGAAGTCTGAGATAATCTGCAGAGTCGCCACGGCTGGCGGATGGCCTCTGGATGGCCCCAAACTTAGAAACAGCTGCTTCTCACCAAGGACCAAGGCTGGTGGGAAGCGTGGGTCTCAGCCTTGGTCTTGGGATCTGATCTCAGAACAGGGAGCAGATCCTAGCCCCCAGCCGCTGGCACTCTTTTGGGAGGTTCTGGAAACTTCGGGAGATGAGCCCGGGAAATGGGTCACGGAGGAGGGGTGATTGTTTCTGACAACTGCTTCCTGTCTCTCTTTGCTTCCTGGTCTCCGTGATGCGAACTGCCCTGCAGTGCCATGGCCTCCCCATGATGGACTGAACCCTCTGAAAGCTTGAACCAGAATAAATCTTTCCTTGATGAAGCGGCTTCCGTTTCCTCACAGTCATGTAAGAGAAGGAATACGGGAGCAGAGCAGAAGCAATCGCGTGCTCTTCCTCAGGACAAGGCCCGGCCCTGTGAAGAAGGTTGTCAGCAGGAAGGCAGCGCCAGGTCCTGTGGCTCAGGGGTGTGTGTGAAGGGTGCACACTGTCTCTGGTCTGTACGCCCCTGGGGGTCTGGCCTCCTGAGGTGTCCTGTGGGCCCTGTGGCCGCTCCCGGATTAATAGGCCAGAGTTCTAGCGACTGAAAGGTCTGTGTGAGTTTTGTCTCCGTAGCCTGTGGCCCTGTGCTAGTTCAGACCCAGAAGTTCAACTTGATCCTGCCAAGTGCACTTGAATAGCGTGATATGAACTGACACTTTTTAAAGACAGTGTCTCACTGTGTAGCCCAGGCTGGCCTCTGGTTCACAGAGATCCCTCCTTTTTCTCCTGACTGCTGGGATTAAAGGTGTGCACCACCACACCTGGATTTATTGGACTTTTTAAGTGTGTGTGTGTGTGTGTGTGTGTGTGTGTGTGTGTGCGCGCGCGCGTGCGCTGGGGATTGAACCCAGGGTTTTGTACTTCTGGACCAAGTGTTCTGCCAGATTGACATACTGGAACCTGGATTCTTTTGTTTTGTTTTGTTTTTTGTTTTTTGAGGCAGGGTTTCTCTGTGTAGCCTTGGGTGTCCTGAAACTCACTTTGTAGTCCAGGCTGGCCTCAAACTCACAGAGATCCACCTGCCTCTGCTCCCATGTGCTGGGGTTAAAGGCATGTGCCACCATGCCTGTCCCTGGGCCTGAATTCTTAAAATCTAGTAAATGTTATGTTAGATCACAGATATGTAAGTAGATTTGTAATAAGTTGTAATTGCAGTTATTTTGACCATAAAATTTGTTTTGTTTTTATAGCCTCATTCGAATAAAATATTACTGTAGACATTCTGGTGTTTAGGGTGGGGCTGCTCAGTTTTCCAATGTGTTTTGTGTGTGTGTGATGTGTAGGTCTCTCTCGCTTCTACACTGTGTTGCACACTGCACTCGATGCTGCCAGCTGACCCTCCTATTTCTGTCTCCTGTCTTGCTGTCCGAGTCATGGGCCACAGTGTTCCCTGCTGCATCCAGAGCGAGTTACCTGCCAGGCCTTCTCCCTAGACCTAAGCATTAGCTCTTTGACACAAGTCTTTCTGTGTAGCTCCAGTGGCAGTGTAGCCCAGGCTGTCTCCAGGTTGTGGCTCTCTGTCACCTCTGTCTCCAGAATGTTGGGATTGCAGGCATGTGCCACCATGCCGCCAGTGGGTGGACTTTCACCTATCTGTAACATAAAGGCTGCCCCCGGGACATGCTTCACACTCTGACTTCCCTGCAGAGTGCTTCCTTGATGAATCTCAGTTGGTTTTGTTTTGTTGTTTTTGAGATAGGGTTTCTCGGTGTAGCCCTGGCTATCCTGAACTCACTTTGTAGACCAGGCTGGCCTCCAGCTCACAGAAATCTGCTTCCTCCCTGAGTGCTGGGATTACGGGCATGTGCCACCACTCCCAGCTTCAGTCTTTTTTATATTTATATTGTTTGGTTGTCTTAAAAAGTCTCAGAAGGAGGCTGGAGAGACGACCCTGCAGTTAGGAACACTGGCTGTTCTTCCTGAGGACCTGGGCTCGTTTCTCAGCATGCAGATGGCCCCTCACAGCCATCTCTAGCTCTGGTCCAGGGAACCTTCAGCCCTCTTGACCAACAAGGACAGCAGGCTCACACGTGGTGCACACATGCACACGCAGACAATACACTTAGCTACTTACGACAACAGGCTCAGAAACATCGCGCTGTCTGCTCTGCTGGGTTGTGCTTCAAGACCCTGCTCCTAGTCACCCAGGAGGACAACTGGAGTGGTCCCGAAACTGGAGCCCTGGGCTGGCTTGCCTCGGACATAACAGGAAATCTGGGCAAGGGCCTTCACTCAGTCCTGACAGGAAGCCTGGTCAACCTTTAGGCCTCAGCACCTTTGGCTAGAACAGTATCGGCAGAACCTCCGGTGGCCTCGGGGTAGCTCTAGTTTCAGTGTCTAACAAGACCCAGGTTCTTCCAGAGTGCTGAAACTTCAGTGACTGACTAATAGTGATATCTTCCAAAAAGACCACTGCAGGCTGGAAGGCCTGAGAGGCTGGAGGATTTTAAGCAGCTGTCTGGGGAGTGACAGGTCTCTGGCAGGCCCTTCAGGGACACTCCCAGTCCTGTGACCAGTTGAAGAGAAGCCTTGCACCCAGGCTTTTCTCCTTCTCCTGAAGCCTAACAACGTGTCCCCGAGATCAAGGCTGTGAGCCCACCAGCCCTGAAAGCCAAGAGCCCTGTGAGAAGTGCCTGGTTCTAAGACTTGATGCCCGACACCGAAGCTTCCAGCCCAGAGGCGAGCAGCCAGGCACAGCCCCGTCTGCCCTCCTTGATGGCTCCTATAAACTTAGGACAGATATCTCAGACGTCCTGCTAATGAGGAAGTCACGTGGGAAGTGGTATGACCAAGTTTGGTGTTTGCTGATCTATTTTGCTCCCAGCTTTGCTTTTTGAAACAGGAATATAAAACACCCTCACCTCCTGCTGACAATTTCTAAGACACATTTTCACATGTTCAGCTTAGGAAGCCGAGATAGCACAGGAAGGAGCCGCCAGGAAGGAACAGCTTGTCTCATGAAGAGGATGAATTTTCCAAGTAGAAGCAGGGAATCAGCTTATATGTTTTGTTTTGGTTTTTGGTTTTTTGGGACAGGGTTTCTCTGTGTAGCCCTGGCTGTCCTGGACTCACTTTGTAGACCAGGCTGGCCTCTAAGTCAGAGATCCTTCTGCCTCTGCCTCCCTGAGTGCTGGGATGGCAGGCGTGTGCCACCGCGTCTGGCCAAGCCAGCTTCTATGTCGCCCGCCCTTTCCCTCAGTGGTATCCAAGTCCTTTCAGTTTCCTATTAATGCCTGGCATGTTTTTTAGTATCTGAAAACTGTTTGTGATGCTCTGATCTGTTAGAGAGGCTCTCGCTTGGCTCAGGTTGACCTTGTGCTTCTGGTCGGTCTCCTGCCTCCAGCTCCCCAGTGCTGAGGCTGCAGTGTGCACCCCACGCTTCCTTATGTCGTGCTGGGGTCAGACCAGGCCAGGCAGGCGTGCCACCGGCTGAGCTGGGTCTCCAGCCCCGGCGCGCCCTGACCTCTCCAGTCTTTTCTTGGCGGCACCCATGTTAGGTCATGATCAGCTTCATCATGGCCAGCTGTTGTCGGGTTCCAGCTGTGTGCTCCTGCCTGTGGCTGCCCTGCTTCTCCCTCCACCCCACACAGCACACAGCATTTGAGGGGAGCAGGATAGCTAGAAAGCTGCACCCTTGGGTTCACCCAGCCAGCACCCGGGTACACAGGGCACACCTTGTCACTTTATTGTCGTTCCTCTACGCTCTCATAGACCAGCAGGGTTTGGGATACAGAAAGATAATGTTGCAGCGTGAACCCACCAGAATCATTGCAGAATCAGCTGGTGCGGTCTCCAGTTTACATCCCCCGTTAATTGTAGGTATGTGTGTTCTCCTCACACGTTCGTGTGAAGGCTGAAGACCAGCACTGGACGTTGGCTGTCAGGACCTAGTTTTCTTTTGTTTTTGTTTTTTGAGACAGGGTTTCTCTGTGTAACCCTGGCTGTTCTGGACTCACTTTGTAGACCAGGCTGACCTCAAACTCACAGAGATCCACCTGCGTCTGCCTCCCTGAGTGCTGGGATTCCAGACATGTGTCATTGTATCCTGCTTATCTAGTTCTCTTTTTTCTTTTAACTAGTCAGTTTTTTTTAATTTTATGTGCATTGGTGTTTTGCCTGCATGTATGTCTGGGTGAGAGTATTGGATCTCCTGGAACTAGAGTTACAGTTGTGAACTGTCATGTGCGTGCTGGGAATTGAACTCAGGTCCTCTAGAGCAGCCAGTGTTCTTAACTGCTGTGCCCTGTCTCCAGCCCTAGCATCTTGTTTCCTGAGCCCAGGCCTCTCACCGGACACTCTCCAGTTAGGCCAGGCTAGCTGGCGGTAAGCCCCAGAGACCCTCCTGTCTCAGCACCCACAGTGCTGGGAATAGGAGCATGGACCGCCACACCCTGCTGTGTACCTGAGTGAGGGGGCCAGACTCACGTCCTGGCTTTTATGACAAACACCACTGACTGAACTATTGCCAAGCATAATAGTAGATTTCCATATATTTCTTTCTATCTGTTTTTGTTTTGTTTTGTTTTTTTTTGAGACAGAGTCTTGTGTAACACAGGCTTACCTCAAGTTTGCATTCCTGGCCTTAACCTCCCTTGTGCTAGGATTACATATGTGTATCATCATGCCTGGAAGTTAACCATAGTCCTTGTGGTTTAATTTAGTCTGTGTCTATATGTGTGCCTGTGTGAATCTGTAGGCACCATGTAGGTGCAAGAACAGTAAGCAGCTGGGCAATGGTGGTGCACGCCTCTAATCCCAGCACTCTGGAAACAGACACAGGTGAATCTCTGTGAGTTCAAGGCCAGCCTGCTCTACAAAGGGAGTCCAGGGTAACCAACACTACACAGAGAAACCCTGTCTTGGGAAAAAAAAAAAAAGGCTGAAGAGGTGGCTCAGAGGTTAAGGGCACCGCTTGCTCTTCCAGAGGTCCTAAAGTCCCAGCACCCACAAGGTGGCTTCCATCTACAATGAGATCTGGTGCCCTCTTCCGGCCTGCAGGCACACATGCAGACAGAACACTGCACATAATAAATAAATCTTAAAAAAGAAAAAAGAACAACCAGCACTCCTAACCACTGAGTCATCTCTCTAGCCCTATTTTTTTTTTTTTTGAGCAAGAGGGGAGGTTGAGGCATGCTTTCCTCTGTAAACTGAAGCTCCCTCAAAAGACCAGGCTGGCTTCAAACTTAGCGATCCACCTGCCTCTGCCTCCCAAGTGCTGGGATTAAAGGCATGAGTCACCATCACCAGGCTTATTTTTTGTTAGTTTTTTTGAGGCAGGGTCTTACTCTTAGCCCACTATAGCCTGGAGCTCACCAGCAAGGCTGACCTCAGTCCTAACAACTTTCTCGACTCAGTCTAGCCATGTTCTGTGACGACATGCGTAAGCCATTTTGTGCAGGTTGCTTAACTATTCAACTCAGAATCGTCTGGACTCAAATTGTACAGCAATTATATCTAAGTGCTAGTTACTAAAAATACATTCTCAAACAAATTAAAGGCCGCATTAAAATTTTTTAAAATGTTGAAGCTGATTATTTTTAAGTATGTGTTTGCCTATACATATGTTTATGCACACGTATATGCCTGGTCCCCTTGGAGGTAAGAAGAGGGCATTGAGTCCCCTCAGACTGGGATTACAGGTGGTTGTGAGTCACCATCTGGGTTCTGGGAATTGAATCCCTTGGTTCTCTGGAAGGGCAGCCAGTGCTCTTCACCACCGCATCATCTCTCCAGCCCCGCAAATTTTAAAGCATAAAGTTTGAGGTAGAGTGAGACACGTACAGTGTAGGCCCAGCTGGGACCTTGCCACTGTTCACCATTAACAGTGCTTCAGGACACGGTTTCTCTGTGTAGCCTGGCTGTCCTGGACTCGCTTTGTAGACCAGGCTGGCCTCAAACTCACACAGCTGCACCTCCGCCTCCCAAGTGCTTGGATCACAGCTGTGTGTCACCACACAGGGCTCCAATATTTGCTTCTTGTAGAAAGCTCTTCTCTTATTCCTCTACTGGCCTGGCCTACCTGGAGACCTTGAATGCAGCCCAGAATGCCCTTGCCAACACACACACAGCAAACCTGTCACCACCCAAATGGTTCACACCAGAAGGCTTAATGCCCCCC